TAATTTTTTGGCACATACCTGTAAGCTGAATCTTAGTTGCTGTGGCCCTATATGTAAGCTTCTTTGTGAAAGCTGATATTCTTAGCAATTATAGCATTTTTCAGACAAAAACCGTGGAAATGTCTAAACAACATATAGCAAACAATCATCGGTTAATCATAACGTTTGTAGGAGGAATCCATTATGCTGGAGACTAAAGATCTTCTTCCAGTATCACACATTTATCTCAAAATTCTACTCAATAATCAAAATCAATCACAAGCCTATGAGTCCATACCACCTGCGTATATGCAAGAATATATATGGATATGTGTTAACCCTTGTTACCTTTGTTCAGTGTATTTCAGGCACAGAATACCTTAACTAAATGTTTTCATGTAGGCCAGTGGAACTTAACTACCATAAGAATGCCCTCACCATGAGTTGGATGTGAGTTCAGTTTTAAACTGAGACATAAAGAAAGAAAGAAATAAAAAGACAAGGTGTGCAGAGACTGAATTTTTTTTCCTCCACAAAACAAATAAAGCTACAAATCTGTAATTACATCAATCATAAATTACCATAAAGGTGTTTGGGGCACCGTCGTGGGGGTGTCACTGGCCGACTGCTTGTAGGTTAGACCGGGTCAGGTAAAACAGCGAGTCCGTGTACAGGAAATTTCCTGGACATTCAGTAACCTCAGGCCCTGCATTTGTCTCCACATCCTCTGGTCATAGTGCAGCAACAGGAGGGAAAATATATAGACAAAATGTCTGTGCAGATTCTCAGTCATCCAGGTCATAGTAAACTGAAAAAAACTTTAAAATATCAACTGGACTTAGATTTCTAGGTCAAAGACGGAAGTTCTGAACAGATGAAGCCTCTTGGATGAGAGGTGAAACGTCTTTGACCTAGAAATCTAAGTACAGTTGAAGTTTTTTCAGTTTATATAGACAAAACTGGATGCAGTTGAAAAATTCCACTTTTATAATGGTACAGGTGGATGTTGTTGTTTTTTAAATATGCTTTATTGAAAACATACAAGGCAATAAAACATTTTGCCAATGTGGTGGGGACACCAGTGGAAGTTAGGCAACCTCACATGAACAGCTTGGATTTTATTTTGTTAAAAAAAAAAAAAAAAAAGTCTCGTGAGTGAGAGTTTGTGAGCAGGTGCAGCAACAGCATTGATTTGGTTCGGTTATCAGTTCACACAGAAAACCAGTCTTTTGACTCCTGAGAAGCCACATCAGGGGTGCAGTGGATTTGCCTCAAATTTAATTTAGTAATAAAATAATTGCTTTGGAGCAGCAGGTCCGCTTTGTGCCAGACAAACCATGATTTAATGTAATTATTGTGATCATTTAATCATCCATAAATTACTAATCAAATGAGCAGTCTTCAGTGTAAAGAGTGATTTCTCTATACAGTGACTTCATAGTTTCACAACAGAAAAGAACAAGACAGCAGAACTGAATTTTATGTAGTTTATTAATCACAAAAGAAAGTGAATACAAATGCAGTTCAAATGTGAAGCAATGATAGAACAAAGACTGAAAATGAGATATGGAACAGTCTGGACTGATTTAACCTGGTAAGTTTAACTTGATAAAGTTGTGGTGAGAGAAAATGACTGATTTAGGACC